TCTGCAGAGATAACCACTGTTAACTTTTAAAGTACAGCCTTCCAGCCGTGGATAGACACATTTTGAAAATTGCAGTGTCTGTTCTGATGCACAACTAATGAGTTTCTGCCATAAGACCAGTGAAAGAGGAGAAGGAAAGTGGCAAAATTAGCCAAGTCACAGATATGAAGCTAGGCTCCGTAAAACCTGTCGATGCAGGCTTGTGTCCTACACATTAGCAGTGATGTTTGCTTTGCAAAGTTAACTACAATCAACAAGCTTTCCCCAGGAATTTGAAAATTTATTAGTCTCTGCTTTTCTGTGACAGAAGGTAAACAGAAAACCTATTTTACAGGAAGGAAAGCCTTAAATCTAAGAGAAACATTGATATCCAAGACAGCTATTGCTAAAAATTATATTATTTTTTTCACCAAAGAAATAGAGATTTTCCATTTGTTTATTTTAATAGCTTTTACTGGTTTCTCTTACATCAAAAGTAATACTTGTTCATTGTAGAAAATTTTGAAAATATGGACAAGTAAAAGGAATATATTTAAGAATATTCTTAATCCCATCAGTCAGAGATATGTGTATCATTAAAAGTTTGGATGTAGCCCTGCCCAGGTGGCTCAATTGGTTAGAGCATCATCCTGTACACCAAAGGTTTTGGGTTCGATTCCCAGTCAGGGCACATACCTGAGTTTCCTGTTTGATCCCCAGTCAGGGTGTGTATAAGAGGCAACCAACCAATGTTCCTATCTCGTGTAAATGTTTCTCTCTCTCTCTCCCTCTCCCTCTCTTCCTCTCTCAATATAAACATATCTTTTGATGAGGTTCAAAAAAGTTTGGACATAAATCACATCCTGAATTTTGCTCCATATGTTTTTTAAAAAGTGGATTTGACATATATGTTATTATTTAATCTGCTTTATTAGGCATATCTTTCCCTGTCATTCAATATTCTTGTCCAACATTAGTTTCCACAGTGGTCCGTTTCATAGACCTTATTGATGATCACTTCAGTTATGTCCCACTTTTTCACAAGTATAAAAATGCCCTTGGATCTAGTTTTTGCACATTTATGATTATTCCTTTGCAGTTAACTTCTAGAAATTAAATTACTGGGCTAAAAAATATTTGTAGAAAATTTTGAAAATATGGACAAGTAAAAGGAATAAATTTAAGAATATTCTTAATCCCATCAGTCAGAGATATGTATATCATTAAAAGTTTGGATGTAGCCCTGCTCAGGTGGCTCAATTGGTTAGAGTGTCATCCTGTACACCAAAAGGTTTTGGGTCCGATTCCCAGTCAGGGCACATACCTAAGTTTCCTGTTTGATCCCCAATCGGGGTGTGTATAAGAGGCAACCAATCAATGTTCCTATCTCGTGTAGATGTTTCTCTCTCTCTCTCCCTCTCCCTCTCTCAATATAAACATATCTTTTAATGAGGTTAAAAAAAGTTTGGACATAAATCACATCCTGACTTTTGCTCCATATGTTTTTTAAAAAGTGGATTTGACATATATGTTATTATTTAATCTGCTTTATTAGGCATATCTTTCCCTGTCATTCAATATTCTTGTCCAACATTAGTTTCCACAGTGGTCCGTTTCATAGACCTTATTGATGATCACTTCAGTTATGTCCCACTTTTTCACAAGTATAAAAATGCCCTTGGATCTAGTTTTTGCACATTTATGATTATTCCTTTGCAGTTAACTTCTAGAAATTAAATTACTGGGCTAAAAAATATGCACATTTAAAAACACAAATACCTTGGTACTTATTGCCAAAGTTCCTCCAGAGAGGTCACTGCCCCTTAGGAAAGGACCTAATTCCCTGCCCTGTTAATTTCTTCTTAATCTTTACCAATTTGATAGCTGGAAAACAACAGCTCAGTACTGTTTTAATTTGCATTTGATTACGAATCAGTGTGAACATTTATAAGTCTATGAAGGTCTTTTGGTCATTTTCATTTTTCGCTCTGTGACTTCCCTTTTGGTGTCCTTTGCCCATTTTTGGGGGGGGGGATGTTTTTCATTTTCTAATTAATTTACAAAAGCTTATTAGCTATTGAGGATTTAAACACATCTGATAATTATCACAAATATTTCTGCTAATTTGTCTTTTGCCTTTTCTGTGTGTGTTACAGAAGTTTTTTGTCCTGTAGCAAATCTATCTCCTGCCATTTTATGTAGACTTGAGGGTTGAAAGGATTATGTAAATTATATAACCTTCCTAATTTTTACACTAGCACCTTTATAATTTTGTTTTTGCAAATAACTCTTTAATGCACTAAGATTTACTTTAGAGTTTAACATGAGGAAGCACTCTAAATTTAGTCTCCAAATGGTAGTGTACGGTTCCCAGGCATTTATTTCCACACTAATTTGAAATGTCACCTTTATTAAATTTTAATTCTCATATATATATACTCAGGTCTGTTTCTGGACTCTATTTTCTCCAAGGAGTTGTCTAACTATATTTATGCTAGTATAACACTTATTTCATTGATGTAGATTTATTATAACTCTTAATATGTTAAGATAAATGCCTCCTTACTACTTCAAAAATTTTTAAACAAAACTTTCTGGTTCCTGTAGTGTTGTTTCTTTAAGCAGATAAACATAGAAATTATGTTTGTTGACCCTTACAAATTAAAATTCCTTTTAAGATTTTTATTATATTTGCATTAAATTTAAAACTAATTTGGATATTTAAAAAATATTTTGAGTGGGCATGGTATAGTTCTCTGCTTATTCAACTCTCAACAATTCTTTTATGCCATTTAGTAAAACTTCAGGTGACTCCCCTTCCACTGAGAGGCAGTCACATTTGATCTAATCAACCCATTTTAGGTTGGATCTGTTATGAGAAAAGAAATATCTGTAAAAGTGAGTCATATGTTGAATGGAAAATGGAATTGCACACACAGGTGTGTGTGTGTGTGTGTGTGTGTGTGTGTGTGTGTGTGTCTAATTCACATTATAACCGCCCCCCCTCTGCTGTGGGGTATGAGGGGAGGTTCTCCATTGCAGACATAGAGATCAAGGCGCCATTTTGGAGCCTGCATGGATCACACAGTATGGCAGGGATTGGACTGTGGTCAGAGTCAGGGCCTCTTGAGTCTCAGTTTTCTCCAGCCTCTAATTCTGTGCCTCACAGAAAGGAGAGAGGTTCCCTCTCTTCCTTGCTCCTACACACATTTTATTGTTGCTAAAACCAAGATGAGAAGAGGAGAATTTGCTTGGAACTATGACTAGGACTCACTCCCAGTGCTTAATCCTGTACCCTATCCTCTGACACCAGGGTAGCCCCATCTCTTCTTCATTTGCATCTTTAAGTATTACATGAGATTCTTCTGGGACTTTGTCTTCTTTTCCAGCTTTTTAAAAAAATTCATATTACTTGAGGAAAGACAGAAGTATACCCAGATGCTTCCTTCTGCATAGCTCTTTAAATCAGGACTACCTAAGGATAAACAGTTTTTAGATAAATTATTTTTAGTGAAAACTTGGTATGCAGTGTGGCTATAAAAAACATATTGGAGATATGCTGTATGACTGCATTATACTACATGCAAATGTGTGAACATAGACTAAAGTAAATCTTTATAATGAGAGAGGGGAAAGTGATATGGAGTCTTACATAGGACCTCAGAACATTTGACCTTCAATTCACCTTATACTTGTTCTTTGAACCATAAGTCACACTCATGTCCTTACTTTCAAAATTTAATTGTGGAGAGGCTGGGCCGCTGAAGATCCGAAGCAGAAGTTAGTTAGCACTGCCAGCCTTTATTGTGGGCTTTGCTATGGGGTTTTCTAGTAATTCTTTTACCAAGTTATGTGATTTTGACAGTTCAGAATTCTGGAGAGGATGCTAAAAGGAGTCCATGAAGCTTGGCCTTCTATTATAAATGCTATATCGAACAATTTGACCCATGTGAATTTCAGTTTACCCCTTTCTTGAGCAAGTTACACATAGAAGATAAAATTAGGACTACCTAGGGATAAGCAACTTTAGATAAATCATTAATCTGGCCAGTGTGGCTTCGTTGGTTGGAGCGTTGTCCCATACACTGAAAGGTCATGGGTTCAATTACTGGTCAGGGCAAATACCCAGGTTGGGTGTGTACAGGACCGGTATTTCTCTCTCACATTAATGTTTTTCTCTTTCCTCCCTTCCTCTCTATCTAAAATCAATAAAAAGATATTCCTGGGTGAGGATTTTTAAAAAAATTATCTTCTTGTGTGATGTAACTTGGAGTATCTGACGTTAAGAGGTGGGGCACTTTATTGTGTAAATTGCCTTTATTTTATTTTTTGAAGTTACAACACTTAGCTTTTGGCTTCCTTTAAGTAATTTTAACATTAATATTGGTGTTTTTCCTTCACATTACATCAGAGGAGGCTGACTCACAGCTTTATTTCCCAGGAGCTCTGCAAGTAGAGGGAGAGGGAAGTAATCTCCTAAATGTTAATAAACTTTTACATTTAATGAGGAAGTGGCCCATAGAGATGTCACTCTTCGAGAAGATGTTACCCCATACCTCAAAACTCGGGAGCCCTGAGAATTGCCAGGGAAGTAGATAGCTCCCAGACAGGACTTATTTTAGGGAGAAAAAGAGGTTTCCATTCTCGAGTAGATTTGGTGATTTTTCGGATCTTGGTCTCAGTCTTCTCTTGTTGAGCTTCTACTCATGAATTACGACCTATCATAATATCACATCCTGCTGATGCCTTCCTGACTCTCCCAGGCAGAGGGGCACTCTACCCACTAGGTCTGCTTAGCTGTGTATGTTCCTCCAATTAAATTATCACCCTCTTGGTGTTCTCCTTGTCTATTGCTCAGGGCAGGGACATTGTCACATTCAACATTTTTAAATCCCTGGAATCTGGAACAATACCTGGAATGAATTAGTCATTTCTCAATAACTGTGTAGGGTTATATGCACTGAAGAAAGAACTTCTCCATATGTCTCTCTCTAAAAGAAGATTGTGCATTTGCTTTCCAGTCATGTCATCAAGCCCCACTGTTGGATCTTCCAGCACGTCTTCCATCCTCCCATTTTCCTCTTCAGTTTTTCCTGCTGTCAAACAGAAGAGTGCCTTTGCCCCTGTCATCAGGCCCCAAGGCTCCCCTTCGCCCGCCTGCTCCAGTGGCAATGGAAATGGATTCAGAGGTAAGCCAAGGCCCCACGCTGGGAGTAAGTATGGTACTTGTGCCACAGGCCAGCAGAGTAAGAGCAAACTGCACGGCCTTATGCTGTATCTCTAGCCAATTTACTTACAAAGAGATGCTTTGTTGTTTTCATGGTGGTACGTGAATGGCTTTACACCTGGGCTAGTACTCCATTCAAGAGCAAGATGGGGGAAACCAGAAGTTGAACAACTTTGCATGATCACAGAATTAACTGGTAGAGCCAAACATACCCTCCAGGGGTGTCTGGACTCCCCACACCTTGGCTTTTCACTATTTCCTAGTAGGGATCTGATCACCAGGTTGGATGCTACATGGTGATGACCACTTACCTACTCGTCTAACCATCTGCAGTGCATACACATTCCCTTGGCACAAATGCACAGGCTCCCTCGGGAGCACCAGCCAGGTCTGAGAGTTCTGGCTATGTGCTAGTCAAATTGATAGCAGGTGCCTGATTGGGGTGTTGTAGAGAAGGAAGAAAAAAAGATACTGTGTCTAAGAACAAAAACTGATCACCCATCAAACCCATTTTGAGCAATGTCTTAAAATCTAATATGACATGACGTAACACAAATGTGATGAGTACATGAGAATCTAATCATCTCAGTGTGAATGGGAGGCAGCTGACGGCAAAAGAACAAATTGGAAACTGCTGAATGTTGTGGATCCTGACGACCCACATTATTTTTAGGCTGTTCCCCATGTCTTGACATGAAAACATGCATGACCAGCAGTGTTGAATGAAACCAAAGCAGGCAGAGGTTTGGTTAACCCTTCGTGGATCAAGGCCTCTGCAGTCAGCAGAGACTTGGATGACCTGTGCTATCCCTGGGACGGCATCTGCCTAGGGCAGTGGTTCTCAACCTTCTGGCCCTTTAAATACAGTTCCTCATGTTGTGACCCAACCATAAAATTATTTTTGTTGCTACTTCATAACTGTAATGTTGCTACTGTTATGAATCGTAATGTAAATATCTGATATGCAGGATGGTCTTAGGCAACCCCTATGAAAGGGTCATTCGACCGCCAAAGGGGTCTAGACCCAAAGGTTGAGAACCATTTGCCTAGGGGCTTTATGATAGTGAATGGCTTCCTGATCCTTTGGGGACACCTGCGAGGTTTCATCGCGGGCTGTGTTTGAGCAGAACTCTGGAAGGTGTGTTAGGTTTCTCTCCCTTCCTACCATCAGAGGCGATGGTGTCTCTTCGAAGTCAAGTGACTTAACAGAGAAACTGTCAAATGAGAACTAAAAGCCCAGCACTTACAAGAGTCCCTGAAAATTCTTTTTCTTCTAACTAGACAAAGCCATTGCACCTACATGCCACCTATCATGTGAGGAGTTGGAAACATCTGTGTATTTGAGGGAAATATATATATATGTTTATCCAGATGTTTGATTCATAGAGAAACAGGCTCATCTTATAGCTAAGTGTCTCCACATGGCCATCTTTTATCAAAGTAGTGGTTTCCATCCCATTGCTAGGGGACGTGTTCAGAACCCTTTCCATGATGGCTTTGTCTTCAGACTGGGACATGACAACAATTGCTGAATATTTTCTATATCTTCCCCTTCTCCACGGCCACTCCAGTGATGATGTCTCTCCTTTCCATGTTCTCTGATTTTAGTCATGTCCCTTAAACCAAGTGGGGGCCACACAGGTCTCATTGGGGAAGTATAGTGGGAGAGGCTCAAGAAAAGCTAAGGAAGACTGCAGGTGTGGGAGGAAGATGGAGGGATGTGGTCCTTTCCTCCTTCCAGGCAACTCTTGCAAATATTTTCAGTTTCACTTTGAGGGGGAAAAGTATAACTTGATTTCCCCTTGCCACCCTGCCCCCCCTCCTCTCTCACAAACCATAAAGTTGGGGAAGTAGAGCTGGTTGTCTCAGATATTCCGGATCTGTCCTGTCCAGGGAGGCCCACCTGTGTGGCCCACCCAACTCTTAGCTCGAAGCCAAGATGGATTTTTCACTGGCTCCCATGTCCTGGGATCTCCTCCCTGCCTATGGGTGTATACCCAAGGCTCCCTGTGGTGTTACCCAGTCAGGGTTGAGTTGGCTCAAAGAGTTGGAAACGTTTGTGTGGGTCTTAGGGAGGCTTTCCTGTTGGGACAACAGCAGCAAAATAGCCAGAAGACCCTCTCTAGGGTCCTCAGCTGTGTGAGCTGCTTCTCACCACAGGTTAGAATGCTTAGGCTGAGAGAGTGGCTGAGGTGCACTTCTTTTTTTGTAAAAATATTTTTATTGAATTTATTGGGGTTACTTTGGTCAATAAAATTATATAGGTTTCAAGTGTACAATTCTATAGTACATGATCTGTATATGGTATTGTGTGAGCTGCACAATCTTGATCTTGTCTTTAGGAGTGACAATTTAGTTGGTTACATGTAGGCACAGGCTTTGGGCTCTGGTTTCATTTCTATAGAATTACAACGAGGTCTTTAGCCTCTTTTGGATTCTACAATTTCCTCCAAAATTTTCTGGTGATTTGAACCTTAGAAAAGGAGGAGGGCAGGAAGGGAAGGAGAAGAGAAGCACTTAAATTAGAATTGTAGACAGTAGTAAAAATTATGAAAATAGAAAGTAATGTGTGGAGAAATAAAAGAGAATGCTGAGGAGAACCTCAAGGGATATCAGCCATTGGAAGAACACTAGACTTTATCAGAGTTCTAGCTCAGCTCTCTTCCAGGCTATGTGAATCTGTACAAATCATTATCATCTGAGAGCCTCAGTTCTTAGGCTGTTAAATAGAAAAGCTCAAAGCTATCTACAAGGGTTGTTGTGAAGTGATCTGTGTAAAGATCAGGAATGGTAAGGGACATTTCACACAGACCAGCAGAGAGAAGGCTGGGATTGACAAGGGATGCCTTTCAGAGGCCTTGACCCCTCCTCCCCCGCCCCACTCTTTCTCATGTTGGAGCCAGTGAGAAGCTC